CCTCACAGAATCATCCTCAACAACCAAACTTTTTCTTTAGGATGAAAAACTGAACGACAGTTTGACTTAGGTCTATATTGTTATTAGTTTATAATAATGAAGGTAACATTAACAGTATAAATTAAAATTTATAATGTTTGAAAGTGTAAAATTTATGTGTCGCGATAACAATGCGCCGACCTTTTTCANGGATTTATGATGGTTGTTTAATTTAATTTAATTTAATTTTTTTGGTTAACATTGCCATTGTTCTTAAAGGCGTCAATAAATGGATATCAGACTTGATTTGTGGTTGTCACACTGTTTTTGTCACAATACGTGCCAAAGTTTTGATTCTGTATGCTTTATAAATGATCACACATTTTTTTTTCATTTTTTTACATTCATAATATGGATGCCACATTGTTACAAGCACAATATTTGACCAACAATAGTGTCACTTTGCAATGTTACATTGTCATTCATTAAAAGCAATATATATGGATGTCACACTAAGTCATGCATACTATTTAGATTGTGTATGAATCAGTGAATGTAATTGCATATCTTTTGTAAGTGATTAAAGTGTTAATTAAGGTATTACACTATCATGTCACACTGTTTCATATGAATCAAAGTGTGTCTAATACACAATCATTTTTATTTACACACCGATNCCCAACAAATCTTTATTTTCATCCTATTAAATTTCTCATTATTATACTACTAAACTTACTCTTTCTATACACACCTCATTACTAACTAAGTTTACCTCATGCTACATACACTCCTTTTTATAATTATATATTTTGTCATAGTTAGGGTTTCATTCTCTATTTCATCTTATGCACTCATAAAAACACTTTTTTTAATATAAATTTTTTTAATGAGGTATAGGTTATTATTACTTCTCAATTTAATTATATATTTCATTTCATGTTTGTTATTTGAATTTTCATTTTTTCGGTATTTTTTGATATCTTGTCAAGTTTAATAATTTTTTATTTAGAATTTATATGTGTGTGTATGTGTGTGTGTATATATATATATGCTTTCAAATTATTTGGTATTTTTTTATCATGTTAAGGTTTTGAATCTATAATTGCTATTTTTTTTGTTCGATTTTGTGTCTGTACTTGATATTTTTTTTCCATATTCAGTTTTGTGTCTTGTAGTTTTAGTTGTTCATTTAATTTTTGCTTGATTTTTTTTTCTTTCCTTTTTTGATTTGCTTCTTTCTTTTTATTTTTTTCTTATTTCATTCTTTTTTTTTTTCATGTTTTAATCTATTTCTTTCTTCTTCTTTTTTTCTTGTTTCGTTATTTTATTTTTTCTTGTTTCAACATGCTTTTTTTTTACTTGTTTTGTTTTTGGTAATTTTTTTTTCTTGTTTCAATTTTGGTTGGTTCTTTTTTTCTTAATTAGTAAATATATTTATTTATTTAAACTAATTGTTTTCTTTCATTATTTTACAATAATTTCTTTCATTAAAGGGGTGTAAATAGAATTAGGTCCGGTAATTCTAGATAGACTCTTGAAACCGACACTCATTTCAACTCGGCAGACCCGTGAAATAAATGAACTAATTTCGTGTTTAACACATAAACTCGTTTAACCCGTTAATAGTGGTACTATAATTTTTTTTTTAAATTTAAGTCTCTCTGCCTCTGCCTCTGCCTCATCTCATGCTTAGGTCAAACATGTATAATGTGTGATGAGTTGATGGTTTTTTGTGTGGTCACGAAATACTCTAACATATTCTCTTATTTAACAGGTGACACACGAGTTATATTGGATAACCAGTCTAATAAACGATTCGTGTATGAGTGTGATAGTTGGACACGTTTATATAAATGAATGAAGTATGGATGTAGGGTTTTTTGACACAAACTCGCTCTACTCGACACGAAACATTTCCATTCGACACGATTGTCAACCCTATATAGAATGAGTGAATTTAACTATTAATGTGATATATGTAGCATGAAATGACTTTAATTACTAATGGGGTGGGTATAGAAAGGATGAGTCTAATAGTTTGATAATGAAAAATTAAATGAGCTAAAAATTGAGATTTATGAGGTGGGAATAGTCCCACCCTAGTTAGATTTATCTTCTTGACTCACCTTGCCTCTGCCCTATGGTTTTAACTCAACCTATAAAAAAAACGTGAAAACATCCTTTGAAATAGCATTTTTAAAGATTATATAGATTTAAAAAATAAATTTTGAACTACATTAATTTGAAAACTAAGAATTTTGGGGGCGTGGGTCTCAAAAAAAAAAAAAAACTTCAAGAAAACTATTTGGCTTTTGGGTTAATCGCAAATTACACCCTCAAATATATAAATTTGTATCAACATGCACCTGAAGCTAATAGTTGTCAATTTTTTGTCTATACTAAATGAATAAGTTATACCTAGATTCTTTCATGTTTATCACTTAATCACCTAGATTCTTTCATGTTTATCACTTAATCACCTAGATTCCTCACATTTGAAATATTACATCTACATCCTCTGATAATTCAAATACGACTAAAAATGTTTCTCCAATTGGGCATCCAAATAATTATTTTCAAGTGATGTATTGCATCTAATGGTACATCACTTGATATATTTCCCCAATTTTTACCAATGGACCTTTGGTCTAATGGTACTCTTTACTTTATGAAAGATTTACCTTCTTGAGGTCAATAGTTTAAGTCCCCTTTCCCTTCCCTCCCAAAAAAAATTAAATATACATACATATATATATATATATATATATATATATATATATATATATATATATATATATATATATATATACATATATCAGATTTAAAAAAAATTATATAAATACCTGCATTATATTAGACATTCAAATGATAAGTTTGATTTTAAATTTTAGAGTATAACAGATCAACAAAATAAAGAGTAATATAAAAATTATAATTTTTTTCGTAGAATGAAATTATATTTTTTAATGATTATATTAAAATATATCAATGACAATAGATTATATGTTATATGTGCTCTAAATACGAGGGGTCTAAATAATTAAGTGATAATCTTGAGGGGGTCTTAGTGTAGTTTATCTAACAAATTTTAAACCGCAAAGTCATGGTTGTTAGTTTAAGTGCAATTGGTACAAATTTATATTTTTGAAGTTACAAATAAAAAATTTTATCTTTGAATTTATAAATTAAAATTCAATAAATCTTTTGAAATGTATTAACCTTTTGCTTTTGGGTTAATCTCAAATTACATCTCGAAAGATTATTTGAATTTTAATTTGTACCATCAAAGATAAAAATTCTTAATTTACATAATCAAAGATAAAAATTTGTATCAATGCGCACATATTGTTTATTGCCGTCCGTTTGCCTTCTAAAATTAAATTCATAAATTATACCTAGACCCCCTCATGCTTATCATTTAATCATTTAAACCCCTCACATTTAAAATTTTACATCTACATCCCTCGAGAATCCAAATATGACTAAAGATATTTTCTCAATTGAACATTCAAATAATTTTGTTTAAGTAATATATTGCAGTGGATATAAAAAATATTATATAAATACCTACATTATATTGAACATTCAAATAATAAACTTGATTTTAAATTTTAGAGTATAACGGGTTTATAAAATAAATGGTAGTATGATATTATAATTTTTTTATTAGGATAGAATCATATTTTTTAACTGTTATATTAAAAGATATTAATGAAAAGGGGTTATGTATAACACATGCACAAACTTCGAAAAGTGTAGGAGTAATATTCTAAATGTGAGGGGTCTAAATGATTAAGTGACAAACATAAGGGGGTCTAAGCATAATTTATCAATTTAATTTTAGACGACAAACTGACGGTTGTTAGTTTCATATGTACATTGATACAAATTTCTATTTTTAAAAATACAAATTGTGATTTTTAATCTTCAAGAGTACAAATTAAAATTTGATCGATCTTCTGGGGTTCAATGTGCTATTAACCCTTTGCTATTTGCTAATGCAAGGTGTTTCACGTGCACGCCTCCTCAACTAAGAAAAGCAAAGAACACCGGGCAACACGTGGACATGTACTACTGCCGCTTGAATAAAGCTTCATCATCCGCTTCACGTGAAGTCCCAGCCACTGGTTTCCTCTCTCCCGGGGGACCTCACAGAATCATCGTCAACAACCAAACTTCTTCTTATGATTGGCCATTCGCACTTTTTCTGAACAGTTAAAAGTATTATTGCTAATTGAGTTTTTAAAAATATTATTGCTAGATGGGTTTTTAAAAATATCATGAGTCTGTTAAATATGGAAACAATAAAATTAATAGATCCACTCTAATGTATATTTTCTAATTAGATTTATTAAAAAATCTTTAAATGGGTAATGATGGCAGATCCATTTGCAGTTTTGAAGATTAAACCACTTTTAAGTTTTAAGACAAGTATGACAATTTAATGCCACGTCATGACAGCCAAGCACTTTTTAGCCTTGGTTGTATATGTGCGTCCCCATTCAGACGAGGAAAAATAAAACCATGAAGTTATAGTTTGGATTTGTTTACTGTGTCGATTAATCTGATGGTATGGATTTTGATTTGGATTAAAAACATTAAAAAAAAAAAAGACAACTTAAAAGGGCCTAGACAGTGACATGTAACGAAAAGTGATTGCCACATGGATTATAGACTTAATTACTACAAAACTGTGCAAACTCATACAAATAGTACCGGAAAACTTCATGGAATTACGAGGATATAATAAGATTTACATAGCATTACTGTAGCTGAAACTTCATGGCATTATTATATGAAACATGGCCATGTAATGAAGATACAGAGAATTACAGTAGCTTGCACACTTGAGATTCATAAGGTGAGAGCTGAACGTCTCTCAACTTAGAATGACCGCTTCCAAATACTAGAACGGAAACACACAGATTTAAGCAACTAAAACCATCACACGAGAAAATGGAGAATGACATGGATTAAACACGCCTTATACATGATGATTAAACGATGATAATGATGCATACTTACACATCTCTGACGTGGAAAACATGAGGATTTTTAATGACAATATCGTACATGCAAACGGAATTGAACTTGGAAAAGTCCTTAGGAAGAGAGATTAAGTCAATAGAAGATTGCTTGTGGAATTGATAGAGGTGGGGATTGCCACCATAATATATCTCCCATCCCAAACCTTTCAAGATATCCTCAAGAGTGCGGTAAGATGATACCATCTGGCCTGTAGGCAAGTGCACCAAAACCTTTCGCCGGATGGCTCCACCACGCCCATCCCCTTGTTCTGCTTGAGGATTTTCAACGAAGTGAATCACACCATCGTTCGTGAAGTCAAAAACTCCAGACATTATGGGTTTTAGATTTTAAGTAAGTAGATTTTCGATAGGTAAGTAGATTTTATTTCTGAAAAAGCGGAGATGGTTTCGTGTTTTTGGGAGGAAACTTACAAAGTTCCAAGATTTTAGAAGAGTGCTTTTTCTCTTATGGGTGTTGGAGGAGAATGAATAGTTTGGTGCATGGAGATGAAGGTTGTCGGGGGTATATATATGTGACTAGGGACAGATAAAACAAGAGGAAAATACTCTTGAAGTGGGCTAAAAAGGTGTGTTGATAGGTTTGTCTGGCTTTGGTATAGAATCTAGATATTGGGGGACCCATATGTTTAATATATGAGGGTACAAGGCCATGCCCCTAGGGTGTGATTTAGGGCGCACGAACCAACCGTAGGTGGGTTTGGAAGAATGTAGTGATGGTATTCCTTTATTCTCCATTAGAGAATCTTTAGCATTGGAAAGGGATATTGTTTACATTCATTTGATAAAATAATGGAATTTCAAAAGTCAATCAATATATATATATATATCTCCAAGCCTCTCCAGTTGGCTTCGCGTGCACAACCCGTGATGAAAGTGGGCACAATATAAATAAATAAATCTAGTTTGAATATGGAATACCATTACAACCAAATACAATTTTGGTTTTAAAAGTCAAATTTAAAATGATTCATTGTGAATTCACAAATCAAAACCACCCAATTCAAAAGAACTATAAGATAATCCCATAAATGTATGACCAACATTGAGAGTGATGAGAGGCAACCCATGTAATGGGATCACCTTATAATCAAATCACAATTGAAGAAGCCAATATTCTCTCCATTCCTCTCTACCTTTGTCAATATCAAATCCTAAACCATAAACTTTTTTTTGGGCATAACTAAACTATAAACTAAAAATAAGAAAATTAAACAAAAATACCTAAATTAGGGGAAAAAAAAAGAAGGAAAAAGCTAAAACTAAATATACCAGAAAAGTGCCGAAAAGTTGAACATGAAACAAAGAATACCCAATCTTAATGATGAACAAACTTGTCCCACAAATGCCAATTTTAAGAATGAACAAACCACTCCCAAATAGAAGTAATTAAGAATATTTCAATTACTTATTGTACAACATCTAAAAAATTGTTGAGAGTAGCCCAATAAAGTGCACAATTTTCATTACCGTTCGGTTGATATAGAGAAACACCTTTTTCTTTGATGTTTTTTGCATCCTTTAGAAATCTCCATAAGCCAAAGCATAAAAAATGTAGGTTATACGCACTTGTAGAGAAATCTTTATCTTTAGATCCTCTATTTAGCCTCAATTGATAGATTTAACAGTCCAACCATCAAACGTGTATCACCGAAACATACCTACATAGGTGTTGCTACTAAAATTACTAATGTTCTTTTTGGAAGGTAAAAATATCAATAATTCATACATCGAAAAATAATAACCTTGCCACTATTAATTATTGGGCATATGAATCAAAATCTTTTCTTGATCAAACAAACTCCTAATTTATAACCTCAAAAGATTAAATTTAACAACAAAAAAGAGCACAAAACACCACAAATTTTGACTGTAAAAGTAGGGAAGAACATCTAGTATCAAAATTTAGACCTTCTTAGCTAAAACAAGAATCTCAACTTCCCAGCAAAGTGTCTCTACTATCTCCTTCATCAAGTCTCTCCAACTGCACATGCCAAAAAAATCACAAAAAACAAACCAAACTAAACTCAAAACCCATTACAATCAGATAAAATCATAATTCAAAACATAATGTGTACCATCACGTGTGGTGGAGATAAAATCCCATTCTAAGAGACAAAATACATAATATTAAGTATTAATAATAAATTTTGTAGTAACCATATACATGAGACATGGATGATGAATTTTGAAAGCAAAAATGTTTTACCCTTAATAAGGCGTACCCTGTGGTGTTGGCAGCAATGTGTCCATAGCTCTTTCAAGAAGTTTCGTCCAGCTCACGGTAGCAATGGTATAAATTCATTATAGTATAAACTTATAAAGAAATCAACTATGTTGAAGATGCCCCAATAAAATTCTCCTCCAGATCATTCACATCACCTTTAAGATTATTTTTAGAAAGGCTTGAGTTTCAACATATATAGGTACCTACACATAAGTAATATAAATCAGGTCCTCAAATGAAAACCACCTGAATGTGCATTACATCCATAGACCCTGTGAACTTCTATAAAGAAGACATAATTTTTTCTAATGTTCATTCATTGAGTAGAATTTGTGAGCATGAATTTGGGGCATTTTATCAAATAGATTATGTGCATAGATTGAAAAAGAGATAGAGACAGAGACATAGAATAAATACACTCAAATCAAACAAAGATTTCTCTAGAAAATCCTAACCCAAATAACCCTTTTCCACGAAATATACAAACACAAAGAAAATAACTATTTTTTTCAATCCCAACTCGTTGCGGTGTGTGTGATGCTATGTGTGTGGGTTCGTTGCTCTGTGTGTGTATATGGTGTGCGATGTGTGTGTGTGGGTTCAAATGTGTGTGTGTGTGTCGTGAGAGAGAGATAGGGAGAGAGAGAGAGAGGGGCTTACTTGGGTGAGTGGTCATTGCCGGTGGTGAAGTGAGCCAGACTGTCATAGGAGAGAGCAAGAGAGAGTTTGTTGTTGTGTGTGTATGGTTTTTTGGCGAGAGAGTCAGTCGGAGGGGAGAGAGAGAGGGAGGGGGTATCAATGAGGTAAGAGCAATGAGTGTCTGCTTTTGTGAGATTGGGAGAGAGAGAGACAGAAGTGAGATTGAGATGAATTCCAATATAGAGATTACATAGAGATTTTGGGGATGAGTTTGGAAGGTAGTGATAGAGGCATGGCAGAATGAGAAAGAGAGGCAGAAGTGAGATTAGGGAAGATTTGAGAGATTTCAGAGGGGAGAGAGAGAGTCGTGAGTCAGGAAATATTATTGGGTGGAAAAATAAAATTCAGTATTTATTGTAGACCATTAGAAAAGTCTCAGCTTCAAATTTCAATAATCAGTCTAAGTAAAGTTATGTATTATATAATTCTTTCATTTTCCGATATAAATAGTAAATTTGTCCATTAATCACAATCTTCTACTAGAATAAAAATTTGACTCATCATATTGGTACAATTACAGCAAAGAATAGGATCAGAGTTTATTTGAAGAAAGAAAATGGATCTGGATTTATTTAACCAGGAAGAATTGGACGTTGGTTTTTCTAAAGTTTAAAAATGATTTTTAAACAAGTAAAAATACAAAATATAATGTAGAAACCATGCCTAAGGGTACGAACAATTTGAATTGCTGGTATTAAGTTTCGATATAGTGTTATAGTGTCAAAAGTTTACTTTTCAGTATTATACAAAAAATCAATATAAGTCAAATCTTTGTTTGAGTTATGTAAAATCATCATAAAAACTATATGAAGTGAGTTTAATTTATACTCTTATTTTTCGTTAGTCGTGTATTGAAATTAAGCGAAATGGCAAAAGAACTCCAATAAGCAAAAAACTTATGCTCTGTTTAGCAATGTTTTTTCAAAGAAAAAAAAATGACAAATTTGTTTTTTTTAAAAAGGAAAGCAAAGTATTTTTCAAAGAAAAAAAATGACAAATTTGTTTTTTTTTTAAAAGGAAAAGCAAAAAACAAAAGCTTGTTTGATGAATATCTTTCCAAAAAAAAAAAAACATGCATACATACACACAAACACACATATTAATGCACAAAAGTGCATGCGTGCACACACACACACACACAAATCCATCAAAATGCAAACACATACACATGCCAATACACCAAACACACACACACAACACACACACACACCAACAAACAAACACACACACACACACACTAATACATCAACACACATATAAATTAACAAACCAAAATGCATACATACGAAAACACGTTAATACTCGATAATAAACCAAAATTCNGCAAACACATACACATGCCAATACACCAAACACACACACACAACACACACACACACACACTAATACATCAACACACATATAAATTAACAAACCAAAATGCGTACATACGAAAACACGTTAATACTCGATAATAAACCAAAATTCACACACACACACACACACACACACTTATTTTAGGAATTAGTGTATTAGTGTGTGTATGTAGCTTGATATGTTAGAGAGAGAGTGTGTGTGTATTAGTACATATATATTTTTTTGGAGTATTAGTGTGTGCGTTAAAGATTTTGAGAGGAATCTATCTCACAATGAGTATGAGAGAGCCATTGTTTTCAACATTTATAGAGAAAAGTACAAAAATGTATGTAACCCATTTGATGGGTATGTACACAGTAATAGGAAACAATTTATGATAAGGAAATATGATCAGGATTTATCACGATCTTTGGATTTACCTTCTAAGCTATAATGGTTGAAATTTAAACTGGTACTATCATTCCCCCTCAAACTTGGTCGCAGATCCAAACAAAGGCCAAGTTTGGTGTGTAATTCCAAAAAGTACTGTTTGGATAGTGGCATAGTGATATCAGCCAGTTAATGGGCAGATGGAACAAACCACATTTCTAGTGTACAAAGCGCCACTTTCTCGCGAACATAGTGATAATCCAATTCAATGTGTTTTGATCACTCATGAAAGACCGAATTAATTGTCATATGTAGAGGATTGATGTTGTCACAAAAGAGTAGTGGTGGTTGTGAGAGAGAAAAAGAGAGAGAGATCTCGATCTTGTAAAAGAAACATCAACCAGGTGAGTTCAGTAACGACAGAGGCCATAGAGTGATACTTTGCTTTGGCACTTGAACGGGCGACAATGGACTACTTGTTAGAGCTCCAGGAAATACAATTGCTGCCTAGAAAAAGCACAAAAACATGTGGTGGAGTGCTGATTGAGAGGACAATTGACCTAATATGCATCCGAAAATATATATAGATCAAGAGTTCTTGAAGTTGATATTCAGAACCCAAATTGTGCAGTTGCATTGTGATAGTGCAAAATA